AAAAAATTAATGAACATAGGTTACACAGGTACAGAACAATCTAGAAAACATTTGAATTGTTGCTGGTACATAAAATATCCAAATTGATCAATAATGTACTTTTAAAAACTTAATAGGGTAACTTAATAAAATTAATATCTGAAAATTATCATTTATGTTGTTTTTCATTATGTTGCCATTCATCATATCGTTTGATGTTATGGGACAATGAGGTTCTAATGGTATGCTCACTGTTTCAATGTCTAGTGAAGTGCACCAAATTTTTCTTGTTCACTACCTCTGGGGCAGAGGAGCTGATAAACCCTTGACCAAAAAAAAAAAAAAAAAAAACGAACAATGATAGAAGTCAGGTTTAAAAAACATTCTTTTGACAGTATTATGTTCATTGAGCCTATAAAGAAGCAGAATGTGCTTCGATGTATTTGCACAATGAGTCAAAGGTTTTTAGCACTTGAAAATGAATGAATGAGTGAATGAATGGATGGATGGATGGATGGATGGATGGATGGATGGATGGATAAATGAATGAATTAATATAATCAGACAAATTATGCCTCAACAAATCCTTAAGAATTATAGATATAAATAAAACTTTAGTTTGCTGCTTTAGTTGTATGCCTTAGTGCGGGACAAAGAAGTCAACATATTTGAGAAAATATGTTATATTGCATAGTCATTTAAATCTCACAAACTGATAAAGTGCCACGTATACTTTAAAACACTTCAAATGTATTTAGGATGTTTTCTGTTTATTGAACTGAAGAAACAGAAACACTTTATGAAAAGTAAAAAAAGCCCCTCAAAATCTCAAAATTGACAGGTAGATAGAAAGAGACAGAAAGAAGTGTCTGCCAGGGTCTCACCTTAAGTGTTTATAACTTACTGTTCGAGTGCCACATGCACTTTCAACATATTCTTCTCTTCCACAGAGGTCATTTTGTCCTCTGTGTTTTATAGACTGTCTTCACCCTGCCATAATTTTACAGCACCGACCGTTATTTACATCGCCCTCTCGGTTGAGCAAGATACGGGCATAATTGCATGTTAGTTTTTAATTATAAAAAAGTAAGGCGATGGGTTGTAAGGTAGCATCGCATTGTTCCCGTCTTATCCGTGCTCTGTGATCGTGTGAGCCTGTCTCCTGTGCTAAGTGATGATAAGCCCGCTTTCTATGCTCGCTCATAATTAATCCATCTCTAGCGCGCCCCCGCCCTTATCGCGCTCGCTCCCGCGTCTCAATGGAACTCAATTCTCTATTGATATCGCCCATAAAAAGAGAGGTGCAAATCCTTTAGTCGAGCCTTAGATTGAAGACATGATTCCCATTGCGCCAAATCTCAGTATCTGGAACCTGAAATGCATCAAATTACAAACAAGGCTGCTTTGGTGACAGTTTTCTGGCGTTTAGTTGTCTTTTATAAAATATGTCTTGGAATTGCTGTCTTTTGGAATATATAACACACTGTATATAACCCAACATGCACAGCTTCTACATAATAATAAATTAATGAAAAAGGTTTAATTTCCCATTGTGATAAAAATGAGAGTTTAGCATACTTGTAAAAGAGCACTTGTTACGTAGCCTATTAATTGTTTATAAAAATATCAGGTACTTGAGAGTGAAGTGAATGTAACCTTTAAGACATTTAATGCATACAAAATAAAGATAACCAAAAAATTACAGCATCTAAATGAAATGGTCTGTCTGTCTGTCTGATTTACATCAACTGATGACAACCAAATTAAGTGGAAATCTTCATGGTAACAATTACACTATTCCATTATATCTTGGAGAATAACTATGTATGGTTATTAAAATGTATTGTAAGATTCACTTTTGTTTTCCATTTTTTATGCTGTGAAAGTGAATTAAAAGATGTGTTTTTTTTCTGTCAACTTGTAACATTGAAAACTCATCTCAGTGATTTTTGTTTACATTTTAATAATTTGAACCAATATATTGTATAAAAATAATATATTTAGTAAAAAATAATCCATTGAATAACATAAAAAATACCGCAAATTCATTTTCTCATTGTTATACAATAATCTTAATACACTCAATATATAATATTAAACTACAAAAAATGTCAGTTAAAATCAAATTGTAAAAACTTTTAACATCAGAAATTGTTGGAGCAGAGATTCACCCCATAATGCATTGTAATCATAATTGACATAATAAGTCATGCTGAATAATATTTCAGCCCTTTCTGAGTCAGCTCAGAAAATACTAGAATCAGAGATATTTAAGATCTAAACATGGTGAGTAGCTCACAAGGGAAACATTAAGAATACAATCTTGCATACTTGCGCACTGCACACTGCTTATACTTCCGTTTTTTATGCAATAAACACTGCACAGCATTCTGTTTTTGTAAAAGAAAACACAAAGAGAAACATTTCCGATGAATGTTTAATCAATGCATCCTGCTATCATCTCAGATATTATAAAACTTGGTTCTTTTAAATTTTATGCAAAATAGTATTATCTCTTTGTAGTCTGATCAATCAGTCTGTTAACAAAGATATGTTTGTTGTAGCTATTGTTATTTCCATTCCATGTTCACATTGTTAAGGTAAAATTCAGCTCATCACAGTACGGCAAACAGGGATGCACAACATTCTGTGGCAAAAACAAAACTTGTAATCTTAAAGAGTTTCACACAGGGCTAACAGTCTAAATGGCATTACTTGTACATCAGAAGTAGACTCAAGAAAACTGCAAGAGCTTTTAGGGTACCATTTGAGACAATACCTCTATTTTATACCACATTTTAGCAAATATATAGTAAATTATAATCATAACACTGTAAGCTTTAATAAAATTTGCATGAGGTATAATAAACTATAAACTGTATGCACAGTACTCCAAACACAACCGGTTAAATGTGTACACCACAATGATTTTCTTTTTCATTTGTTTAAAAGTTTTGCAAAAGGCAACTGTTATAACAATTTCTGTTTTATTATTTATTGAACGTTTTATTACTAATTAATCAAAATTTTTCTTTTGTCCTGTCACTGTCTATCTGAAGCACTATTGAAGTTTTTGTCACAAATACAAATTCCTTGAACTGTGTCTAAACATATTAGGCACATTCTGATTCGGATTTAAAATAGTACCCAAATGACCATTCAGTTCCCACTTAGATATGCTTGGCACTTATAGCAGGTTTGGCATGCTGTCCCGGGAGAGAACCCTGAGCTCGGAGATATTTGAGCCCAGGGCTCCCGCCCGGTCTAGAAGCATATCAGGAGAACCGAGATCAGGTAGGTCTCGATCGCTCCCCCTTTAGAAGGGGAGAAAAAGGAGGAGATGGGGTGGAAGGGGGGATTCTTCCAAAACGAAGATAGTGCAATAAGGAGAAAGTGATCCATTTATATTAAGCTAGGATCATTCTGATTGGATTATTACTGATTACGGATGAGTGGCCAGCGGTGCACAATCATATCACGTGCTACTCTCGAAATTAGTTTATGAAACTTCACATAGTGATGTCACTCACAATTTTTAGTGAGTCATGCAGTCCTGTTTTGATTGTATTGATACATCTACAGATTACAGTTTTTTTCTCAGTGGGTTTGGTGCATTTCTCACAACACTATTTACATTAGCACAGCAGTTAATGCATTTCCCAAAACAATTAGTACAAACTGCAAAACCTAGTTGATAACTGGTGAAAGTGTCACTTACTCAAAATGGATAGCTCATTCCTTAAAAATAAGTATTGATGTCAATGAAAGTGCTAGTGTCATCAAAATGAAAAGTCCTGACATCATTGTTTATGAACAAGATAGTCATATATCTTTGTCATGTTTTTATTATGACAGTTTACTCTGTAATTGTTTTCTAATGCAAAAAAGTCTGATTTTGGTGACCATATACTATTGCACAGCCATTTAAAAGCTACAGTAAAGATATACATCACTGCATTTAGTGAGGTATCTTAGTACAAGACACTGAATATGTATGTTGCACATTTTTACTGCATTTGCTCTTTGCAATTTGAATTTTTTCACATCATGGTGAAAAATAAAAAATACACCCTTATTTACAGCAAACATAAACTTACTTTGGGTAGAGCTGCGCACAACTGTAAACAATATTGCAGTACATATTGGAACTGAACCTACAACCTACATAGGTCTGTAAATCATTTATGAAATTGCTCAATTTAGAAGACATTTTCACGAAAATTTTTTTTTTAAAATTTTGTATGAATTCGCTTGACAGATTTTGACTAACATTTTTGTATCTGATGACTCAAGTAATTAAATGAGGACTATTAGTTTTATATAGAATGAGAAACTGCTACTATGATGTGCACAAATGCATAATTGTTTTGAGAAATGCATTAACTGTTGTGCAAATGTAAATAGTGTTGTGAGAAATGCACCAAGCCACTGAGAAAATTTGTAATTTGACATGTAATCGGCCTACACATGCACATCACTGTTTGTAACAAAACCACACAAACATTTCTTTAGTTTCCTGTATTAGTGATAAGCTCTGTTTGTTTCTGTGTTTGAATCAGATTTTTTATGTCAAAAGGATGTTGAAGTAACTATATTGACAATCTTATTATTTTAAAATAATGAATTGTCTATTGGTTGACAATCTAAATGACAAAAACAGTCAATATGCTGCCAGTACCTTTTCTTCAGTTAATAGTTATGGAATTATTACAAATGTCGAGAAAAATAGTTAATTTTTTACACAAAAAGTTGACAGAAAAGAGATCAAAGTTTCATGATGCAATTTTGAAAGCCTAAATAAATAGAAAACATGTTTATTTCTTTTAATTTTATATTTTGTCAGATTGATTAACAATAGAAATGATTAAACAAGCTTCTGAGTGTATTTAAGCAAACAAAACTCATAATTCTTAATAAAATGACATATATTTTCCCCAGTAGTTTGACCTGATGTATCCCGAGAGGAAAGACAAAAAAAATGTGTTAAAAGCCCAGGGTGCAGTGAGTGAGTGTGTGAGTTGTGCTGCTGCAGCTCTACGGTGCACCGCTGCGCTCAAACCTCCTGCAACAAAAGCACAACACGCGCTCATCTGCGCTGTCAGTGTGCGCTCGGATCACAGCACAACTTAACCCTCTCCACGACGACACCAATAAACCCTGACTGGAATCAGACAGACACCGAAACACATCCGAGTCTTACAGACAGAGCGTTTATCTGTGTTTGGATGAATCGCGGTATCGTTTTTTAATCTCGAGTCCAGCGCGCGGAGCAGGAATGTCCCGGAGGAAACAGAGCAACCCAAAGCAGTTCAAACGTGAGTTTGCCATGGCGATTTTTTTATTTCTTTCTCAAGACAGATGACCGGACAGGTTGTTTGTGGTAGTTTTAGTCCAGAGTAAGTTAACACGGTTCGTTTTAAAACATTTGCATTAATTGATGATTCAGACATGGATCAGAAAATCTTTGAAGCTTTGAGGATTTCACAATAATCGTTATTTTTTTGTACTTGAATAAAAGTGAAACATTTTAAGAAAGTTACAAAGTTTACATTTTTATTAAGGGCTGCACGAGGTGTAAATAAGTGAAATACTTTGTACAAAAAAAAAACTTTTAATAAACTAAATTTAAGCAAGTGCATTTTTTAAAGAAAAACATATTTTGATCCCTGAACTTCATTTCCTCCCTCATGTTTCAGAAATTAATAAATGAATGAAAAATAACATTTTATACATGTAACTTGCAAGTTACAAATGTTAAAAATACAGCATCACTACACTTAATATTTAATTTTACAAACATCTGTTTGTGCATTTTTGAACTGCATAGAGAAGAGCTTTTGCTGACACTTTATTATAACACAAGATCAGTTATTATTCATCTGTCTTGGCATTGAGCTCTGAAGTTTTTGTGGTGATGAAACTGTTTACTTAGCAGTCCGGGCGTATCAGCTCTCATCGTGTCTGTATTCTGCTTTTCAAGGTCTGCATTATACAGAAGGCAGTTGTTGTGATATCTCAATCTGCAGACGTGTCCCACATATTTCTGGAGTGATTTGAAACACTAGCGCACAACAGAGAGTTCTTGAAATGACTGTAAAGCTAGAGAGCGAGCAGCACCTGTAAAGAGCACAGCTTTACCAGACACCTGCTCATAGCAAAGGACAAAGAGGTTGTTATGAGCAGAGATGCTCTTCTGTATTTTTATTTATATATTTATTGTTACATTTTGTTCCCAATTGAACACACTTTGCCCCTGTTATCTGAACCCCAGCGATTCACCCTGGATTTTCATATTTTGCCTATTCCATTCTCTGGTGTGCCCTCTGTGAGGCAGATAAAGCCAGAGCACTGAAAGAGCTCCATTAATTTGCCCCGATGACTGTGGCGATAAGGGCAGATAATGGGCTAGATAAGCTGGGGAAGATATACCATCAGAGACCCCATTATTACCATTAGAATTCCAGGCCAGCAGTCTGTTCCTGCCTGATAATCCCTCCACCCATCCTCCACTTCGCTTGATAAGACAAGGAATAGTCAGTCCGCACTCTCTTTATTAGCCCGCCTGGATATTCCGATAATATGCTTGATAAATTATGTATTTTTATCCTTCTCCCACTATTTTAGCCCTATTGAATGATCTGTCTTTTTCTTATAAAGAGATAAAAAGGGCATTTTGGGTTGTGTTTTTTTTTTCTCTTTTCTTTTTTTTTCTTCCACCCCTCAGTTGGTGTTTAGGGGGTTATTGTAATCAGAGTTCGATGGGAAGGGCAGATTGGATGGCCAAGGTGTCTTGGTGGGAGAGTAGACGTCAGTGCTATCAGATCCACATCTCCAGCACAGGCTGCTGTACCAGCTGTTCATCTCAACCTCTTATCACCTCCACGGCCAAATGCCCTGTAAATTTGTCCAAAATGTTGGTCAGAGCAAGGCTGGTTCGCCAAATAAATGACAATTGTATTTTCAGCATATTTTGCTATGTTGAGGGCTTTCGGATTGTCTGCGAACAGTTAACAGCAAATGATTGGCCGCAGCAGGTACGGTGTTGCTGTACTGAGGTCTTTTTTTATGAATGACTTATCTGCTTTTTTGTGACATATGCACACAGATTTGACATGCATGACACAGGTAAGGAGAGGGTTGCTTATGAGGACATTATCCCATGTCCTCATTTTTTTCAAAGGTTTCAAAATCATACAGAATTTTTTATTTATAAATTTTTTTGAGAAAGTTGCAGTGTAGAGTTAGGTGTAAGGTTAATATAGGGTGATAGTACAGTAATACGGTTTGAACAGTAAAAAAAAAAAAACTATTATGCTTATGGAATGTCCCCACAATTCACAAACAAAAACCTCTTTCTCCTTCTGTTTACTTGATTTTGTGTTCTGTATTTTATGACTAAATTCTCTTTTATCTCCCATTTAAAAATGTAAAATCTGGCAATCATACGTTGCAAATTAAACCCTACCAGATAATTCAATGGCCCAAGAGCTGTTTGGATACTTTAGACGCACTTAAAGTGGTAATGTTTTTCAGGAAAAAAACAACAGCATTCCAATATTTTGTAAGACAGATGCGAAAACAATACAAAAACAATATTGACAATGTTTAGAATTATATATATATATATATATATATATATATATATATATATATATATATATATATATATAGATATATATATAGATAGGGCGAGTCAGTGGCGCAGTAGGTAGTGCTGTCGCCTCACAGCAAAAAGGTGGGTCGCTGGTCCGAACCTCGGCTCAGTTGGCGTTTCTGTGTGGAGTTTGCATGGGTTTCCTCCGGGTGCTCCGGTTTCCCCCACAGTCCAAAGACATGCGGTACATGTGAATTGGGTAGGCTAAATTGTCCATAGTGTATGAGTGTGTGTGTGAATGTGTGTGTGGTTGTCTCCCAGAGATGGGTTGCGGCTGGAAGGGCATCTGCTGCTCATTCCGCTGTGGCGACCCCGGATTAATAAAGGGACTAGGTCGACAAGAAAATAAATGAATTAATATATATATATATATATATATATATATATATATATATATATATATATATATATATATATATATACACATACACACTCACAGTCTCACACATACACATTTTTTGTTTTCACTTTAAGTTGTAAATTTAGTTTTTTTATTAGTTTGAATTTATAGTTTGAATACATTTTTTGGACCTGACTTCATATATCCGTTAAAATTACTGCATTTTCAGCTCTTACCTTTAGTATTTCAGGTATTTTTTTATTTATTTTTACCAACATTTATTTACTTTTTATTGTTTAATGAAAAAAATGTGTAATTTTAATTTATATATAATACAAACAAACAAATATATGCTGATGTTTTGGTATTGACAAGTTTTTTTAATCTAACATAAGTGTATCATTTTGGCTCACTTAGATGCTTCCAACACCTGAACGCTATACTAACCTTCAATCTAGTGTGTACCTGCTGAAGTTTTTTCAGCTCTCACAGCAGTGAACTGTCAAAGTATTTCTTCTTTTTGTCTTATTGTTCATACTTCAATTATTTATTTGGTGGCTGTCACTCTTGGTTGTCTGCACTAACTTTGTGCTGTCAGAAGATGATAATTTATTTCATTATTATATCCTATCAAGGATGTCAGATTTGTTGCCTCTCCTTTATTCTTTTTTTAATCCGTTTTGATTAACTTCGTCTGCCAACTGTCAGCGTGAGGCATCCCTCAGTCGTGAGCTATCTCTCACAGATCAGTGCAATATGAAGAGAGGGCTTATTGCATGCCAACTTTCTCCTCAGCATCTGTTCGGCACTAATGAGCTATGAAGTGCTGTGGCTCACTAGGCTGCTGGCAGGAGGAGGGGAGATGGAGAGGACAGGAGAGCCTCACACCTGTCTTAATGCGGTGAGACGTCCCGAATGTTTAGGAATGTAGCTGCCGTTGGTCTTTGTTAGTTACACAGAGCAATCCCACAGTTTTCTGATTAATGTCTGGAATATTGAAGAATTTGTTCTAAATAATTTATCTTTAGGCTTTTTAATCCAAAGTTCCCCAATTCTGCGCATTTAAAATATAAACTGTTTTTTTAAGCATGGACTGGTGTTTGTATTGATCCTTTTGTGGGGTGAGAGGGGTGAGGTTTAAGATGTGAAAGACATCTATATCAAAGTCCAATAACAAACTAAAACAAAATATTACTTACCATAGTAGAAAGAGAGAGCGATGTTTGTTTCCCAGTCTTGATGTATTGGCTTAATCTTAATAGAGATACTGGTGTCCGGTCTGCAATGTGCACAGATATGGATTTTGGATTTTAAAGGGGAACTCATAATAAAGTGGGATGTCGTGTGGAGTAATTTTGCATTCTTGAGGCCTTTTAGCAACTCTTTTACAGCCCAATAATGGGGCACAACCCAGTGGTTTCGTATGACTGATATAGCTCTTTGGTAAAAGGTCTGCAACGTTTTGAATGTCAAAGTGCATGACAAATAAAATAATAATAATCGTTAAAAAAGGTTTGATATGAACTGCTGAAATGAGTCTCGAGGAATTCCAGTTTCATTTACGTCATGGATATGTCACCAATCAGACATAACATCATGGCTACTTACCTAATAACCAGCTGAATCTACTTTGGCCCACAAAACAGCAGCCACAAAAACATCAGGTCCCGTTCACATACATTGTTGAGTGGTGGTGGTGCAACATAAGCCTACTTTCCCAAGTCGAACCACACATATTCAATTGGGTTTATGTTAGGTCAGGGGTGTCCAAACTCGGTCCTGGAGGGCTGGTGTCCTGGAAAGTTTAGCTCCAACCCTAATCAAATGAATCTGAACCAGCTAATCAAGCTCTTACTATGTTGACTAGAAACTTCCTGGCAGGTGTGTTGAGGCAAGTTAGAGCTAAACGCTGCAAGACACCCATCCTCCAGGACTTACTTTGGACACCCCGGTTAGGTGAATTTGTGGGCCAAATCATTAGCACACCACAGGCCAATGATTTATGCTTACATATATTTTTTATTCATTTATTTTTTTCCCCATTTTCTTATTGACAAACTTCCTAATTATATTATGAAATATCTGATATTCTAAGTCCTAAAATTTTTGTAAGAACGTGTCAGTTTGTCTTTAAATGACTTAATAGTGACCTTTGTCTATTAGGTAATCTGACAGAAGATATTTGTGCTGCAGTGGAGAGATCAGAGTTGCTGGATTTAAAATAAGCTATTTATCAATTTCACCCAAAATGCATTAAAGTTGCTAGTTTAACTGGGAGAAGAATGGAGTAAACATTCTAGTAGCCTAAAAAGTATGTATGT